AATGAAGCATTTCAAACATAAGACAATTGCACTCATAAAACTACCAAACAATTTCTAAGAACGAACAAAAAGCTGTGAAAAAGAAAATTTATATGCCTACGTTTACAGTTGTAACGAAAAAAAAACTAAAACATCAGTCAACAACAGTTGAAGTTTTTGACAACCAAAAAAGCATTTGTATAAATTTTTACGAATGCAGAAAAACCTACTTTTTCCCTTCACCTACTATATAAGAACAAAAAAAAAACAACCTTAGCCTGAATTTTATAAGCAAGTCTGTAAAAAAATACCTCATTGTAGATGAGCAATAAAAGTGCAACTGCAACACCAAACGCCCATACAAAAACTGGTGGATGACAAACACCAATCCATGTTTGTATACCCGGTGTATAGATGAAAAAGTTTAGCAAGACAATTTCCATCATTATTGAAAAGATTATTGGTAAATTAGAAAAATTATGATGAAACAATGATACACGTCGTGTTGTACACATCCAAACGTGGAATACCTAAAAAAAAAAAAAGGTGACATCAGCAACACTGAATCAATTAATAATCCTATCTTTTTGAATATTACTTAAGTGATACAGTAAACGAGTGTAAAACAAAAGGTACCTGTGATACTACCAAAGTTATATGCCAAGCTGCTGCTGCTTGACCCTTGATATACAGTTGCATTTTTGGTGTAAATAATAGTCCATTACTTGTAAAATTTAGTGCATTTGCATGCCAATGATGTTCCCAAGAAAATGCCAAATCTGTTATTGCTATACCATGGTACCTAAATAAAAAACAATATCAAACTGCTTTTGGTCAAGTTCTATTTGAATAACAACTGCTCATCAATCTGTACAGGGTATCAACAACCACTGACGACCAATATAATTTATCAGATCACAAAACAGTCGGCAGATTTTTAATATTGATGTTTGAAATTTGTACACTGTCTAGTCGTACTGGTAAAGTTACTAATTATACCACAAATAAATTAAATAGCAAAACCTGTTTTGAACACTAAAAATCAAAATAATACAATAAAATTTTCGTATATCAATAATCGAAAACTTATACCTGATATAACTGTACAAAGTATAGAAATTTATATACATACTTAAATAGTATAATGTCTTACCAATAAACCGTTAAATATGCAAGCACACAACCAATAGCAATAATATTGCCTGCAATAATATAGGCATAAAAAATCATTGAACCAGAAACCAGACGTGAAGTTGCCGGACGTGGTTTACTTTCCATCATATCCCGTTCTGCCGGCTCAAATATTAACGCAATTGATGGAGGCATTTCAGTAACTAAATCTATTGTTAAAACCTGAAAATTTCCTATAACTGTCGAAACCACCCAAAAAATTATTTTGACAACCATCTATTTTACATCTAACACATATCTGAAATCTAACAATAATAATCAAAATATGTATAACCTATTGAGTTAAAAACGTAATTGATTTCAAAGGAAATACAGAAAAATAAGTGTATGAGTAAATTGGGCAATCTTTGTAAGCTTTTATCCAACTGTTCCCAATTTATTCTTCTAAAACTAAACTTACAAAAACTTACCTGTCTTATAAACTACAATCCTTAAAATCAGATTATATTGGCGACTACAGTTGTTGCACTCCTAACCAGTGCCACCATACAAACGGTAAAAGAAATTCACAGCAGAACATACCGGGAAAACTTTTGATAATGTTTTCAAAACAACAAATAAAAGCCAATTTTCCCTATCTAACTTCTATTCTACATCCCCACTAAAAAATTACTAGAATTATTGTGAAATTTATACTAAAACAAAAGCATTATCTTTGCAACAAAATTTTCAGTTTCCGTCCTGGAAACAATCTCTGAAAGTTTGAATTTCGTTGCTTGCAGTAATAGTAATTTTTCTTTGCTATACCGACAATGTCACTCAGCTGCCAAAAAAGAATTTAAATAAACTGATTCAATTCCTCTCAAAAATTGATGAAACTGCTCAAAATATTTGAATAAAACGTTTTGCTGCAAGTCCAGCCTATGCATCAAGCACAAAGAAACTAATTTTCAAGAAGATTTCAACCAAAAAGAAATAAAAACTATCACGAAATTTGCAAATCTTCAAAGACTGCATAGAAGAAGTAATTCATCAGACAAGCACAGATATTTCTGTCATTCGTTCCAATTTTGTGCGACTTGCCAGTGTGACAGTTGTCATCGTTGAATTGACTTCATACTTAATCCTCTTTCCGCTTAATACCTAAGATTACAAGAGTCGTCGTAATTAAAAGCTTTTCATCATTTTTGTTTCAAAAACTTCATTCTTTTCTGCAGTGGTTTAGTAAAAGTTGACTTTTTTGATCACAAAAATGGCCAAGAGATTATTTTGCCGAAGTGACCTGTACGCTCCCATTAAATAAAATAGTGCAACGATGTAGGTACTTGGAAAATTTTCAAAAAAAAAAAAAGACATTAAGCGGTTAAGAGAAAGATTCAGATAATGCAAAATCTAATCAAGGCGTTCTTAAACTTAAGTTACGGTATATGAAATCCGTAAAAAAACAGACTCAGTGCGGTAATCCTACCAATGAATCAACTGTATAAGCAAATATTGAGTAGTCTGACAATAACTAAACAATTGCTAAATGATTCAGAATCAGAATAAAAGATATATGTGCTCTTCATACTAAACCATCGACAATTTTTTTTTT